CTGGGGGGCAGGGCTCGCCACAGCCCAGCGGTTGGAAGCCAGCAGCTGCTCTGAGGAAGAAAGACGGGCTTTCCTCTCCTGTAAGGACTTTCAGTCTCAGAAACTCATGGGCAGCTCCACCCGCCCAAGAGGGTCCTCCTGAATCAGAATGGACTGTTTCACCTGCCCCCAACCCACCACCTGGGCAGAGCCCTCACCTGGGGCAGAGCCCTCGGGTACCCGGCCAGTAAACACCTCCTGCAGGAAGACGGGCCGGTTGTCGTTCTGATCCACAACCACGATCTCCAGGTCCGTGGGCTCCTCCAGGGTGGCCCCACCCTGGTCCAGGGCGAAGGCCCTGAGCTGTGAAGCAGAGACCCAGGGCTGGCTCGGTGTTCCCTGTGAGAACCTCAGCCCTGGGTTCACTGTGCCAGCTGGGGTGGGCAGGCACTTGTTCATGGGGGGGGCTCTAGGTCACCACCCTTCCGCTGAGACCCAGGAGGCTCTAGGGGGCAGCAGTCACCGACTGGGCCACCCCGAACATTGAGAATCCTGCTGCAGGGACCCTTCAACAGCAGCCTCACCCCCTGATTAAAGGGGAGCCACTGTAGGTTAAGGGGGCAGCAGCTGGGCTGGTGGATACAACCTGACATCCAGGTGGTGTCTTGTCCAGAATGAGTCCTCCCTGGGGCCTCAGTTTGCCCATCTGTTCACAGGGATCACCTGGGATGCCTGCTTCCTTGGGTCCTAGCTACAACCCCCATTTAAGCAGCTTGGACATTGGGGGTCAGCCAGAGCCCACCCTGAATCGGTCAGTCTTCTCTCGGTCCAACATGGCATTGAGGAACACTTTGCCGGTGACCTTGTCGATGGAGAAGACACCTCGAGGCTCTTTGTCCACACCGGGGCCCTGGATGCTGTAGATGACGCCGCCCTGAGGCTGTTTGTCTGACTTGATCTGGGGTGGGGGTTGGGGGAAGGGTCAGGCTGTGTACAAAGCCTCCAGGCCCCTTCCTCCGCAGAGACAGTGAAGGTCCAAGGCACCCCTCGTGCTTCTTCAGGGGGACCCATCCTGAGGCTCTGCCATGCCTAGGGGCCCAGACCCCCATCTCTAGGGTCAGACATTAGTGTCTGGTAGACAGATGGCAGAGTCCTCCCAGCCTACTGGGGGGCCCCCAGGGTGCAGGGCCCCCAGATAACGCAGGGCCCACTACAGCCGTCCCTGGCCCTCTGCCCTCAGGCAACATGTATTGTGGGCACGGGGGCAGCTGCCTCACCTGCACGAGCAGGAGGGGGATTCGCTTGTGGTTCTCAGACACGCTGATGGGAGGGATGACCCAGGCTCTGCGCACACGGCCCGACCTGGCCACCTGGTGCCAGGGAGGCCCAGGTACACCAGCAGACAGGCCAAGGCCCTGCAGCAGAAACAGACAACAGTCACCCAGCCCACCCCCCCGCACCCGGCTGCTAGCCACCAGACCCAGGAGCTGACAGCACTGCCCCGCCTCTACCCCTTCCCCAGTCACTGGCACCACAGAACCTGGGGCCAGTCACTGGGCTGTCCTGAGGCAGATTCTAGGCCCTCTCTGGGCAGACTATAGGGCCACCTTCCCCTGCCCTACCTCGGACCCCTGAGAGTCCCGAGGATGTGGGAAACCGAGGGCCGGGAAGAGAGTGTGTGTGGACAAACTCTGCTCAGGATTAAAGAAGCTGGGGGGACAGGGCTGGGGTGGTGGGAGGCCTTCACCTTGCGAGTGGGAGAAGAGTCCCAGGCACGTTTTCCTTATTAAGAAGCATCCCCATTTCCCGTAAGTGTGCTACTGCAATGCTACCTACCGCATACAAGCTCCTAGCTGATCACCTTTACCTACCGAGGGCCTTTACCTATAGGAGCAGCTGTGTTTCTTTTGTTCTCCCTGCTCAAGGGCACCGACTCCCCTCTGCCTGCCCCCAGTGCTAGTATTCGGTGTCTCCCCCAATGAGCTCAGGGACCTTGAGGGGGAGACACTGACCACTTGTTATGGGGGTAGGTGTCTGTGACTGGGGTCTTGCATGCCCAAGACTACATGAGTTGGTGAAAGAATACATTCTCTCTCCCACTCAGACCTGGCTACACGGAGGTGAGCACCTGGAAACTTTGTCTGCCCTTGTACTTCTTCCCTTCAATACACGACCGCCCCTACGACCCGGCCAGACTGGGCCTGGCTCCCACACAGGATACTTGGCTGCCAGGCTGACCAAAGGCTGGGTCCCACCTGGCCAACCTGGTGCAGAAGTGGGGCAGGAGGGGAAGTCTCAGTGGGTACAGAGGGAAAGGGGCGGCAAGGGGCACAGTGACAGTAAACTCAACTGCTGGGCAAACAGCTGAGTGGGAGGGGGCTCCATCCTCTGTGCCACAACAGCCACGCCCCCCACCCCCAGGCCCGTGATTAAAGGTATGAAGAATAGGGAGGTGGGGCATTCTGGGGAGGGGCTCCCCACTAACACCTGGCCCTGTCCCACCCAGGGCCAGCCACACTGCCTCCACGGCAGGAGAGGGCTGCTGGGCTGTGTGGCCCGGGAGGTGGGGCTGGGGCCAGCTGACCTTTGAAGCTCCCACACTGGGGGACCCTGGTTCTGTTCCCACACAGTACTTCTGTTCCTGGAAATGGGCGGCAGCTGGGAGGGCCTGGGAAGGAAGAGGCAGGACAGCTGTGTGCCCCCACACCCCAAGGCCTGGCCAGGCCTACAGCAGCCCACTCTGGCACCAAGAGCCAGGCTCCCTGCCATCAGTCAACTCCCACCATAGCAACCCTGTAAGGGGTGGGACTGCTCCTCTTTGTGGGTAGAAAGCCTCACCTTTCTTCCTTGGAGCAGCTGGTGGTTTCAAACTGCTGACTTTGTGGTCAGCAGCCCCACTCAAATCCACTTGGCCATTTGGGCTTCTTAGCAGCACTGGACCACAGTTGCTGCCTACAGGGGCTCCCCAGGCGCCCCACAGCAGACACGAGGTCTCTCACCACAACATCCAGTGGCCACCGGTGCCTGCCCTGGAGAACTTGCCCTGTCTGCCTGCCCCACCTCTGACTGCAGTTCTCAGAGGCCCCTTGGGAAAGGGGTGGGGACAACACCCCCACTTTATAGCTCTAGAAAGTGAGGTTCAGGGCGGCCATGGGCCCAGGGCACCCAGAACAGGGTGGAGGCGGGATGGTGCTGGGTCTAAGTCCCACTCTGGGGGCCGGGCTCCCTGGCAAGACCCCAGGTTCTAAAAAGCCTGGTCCCCATCCTCTGGGTCCCCATCATGGGCTAGATTCAGGGCCCCACCCTCAATCTGGAGTTTCAGCCCCTCTCTGCCAGCTGCTGCAGGGGGCACCCAACCCCTGCCCTGTCCTCACCAGC